CATGAGACTTAGACCTGAGTGCAAAAATGGAGGCTCTAGCCCCTTCCAGAGCTGAGATATCGAAACTCAAAAATTCGGCCCGAAAAAAAAAACGACAGTGGTACCCCTTACGTTTTTTTTTTTTGGGCGAAAAATTAAGTTTCTCCAATCTTCCCAAAACTCTGGATTCTGATAGAGGGCCATGAGACTTAGACCTGAGTGCAAAAATGGAGGCTCTAGCCCCTTCCAGAGCTGAGATATCGAAACTCAAAAATTCGGCCGAAAAAAAAAAACGACAGTGGTACCCCTTACTTTTTTTTTTTTGGGGCGAAAAATTAAGTTTCTCCAATCTTCCAAAACTCTGGATTCTGATAGAGGGCCATGAGACTTAGACCTGAGTGCAAAAATGGAGGCTCTAGCCCCTTCCAGAGCTGAGATATCGAAACTCAAAAATTCGGCCCGAAAAAAAAAACGACAGTGGTACCCCTTACGTTTTTTTTTTTGGGCGAAAAATTAAGTTTCTCCAATCTTCCAAAACTCTGGATTCTGATAGAGGGCCATGAGACTTAGACCTGAGTGCAAAAATGGAGGCTCTAGCCCTTCCAGAGCTGAGATATCGAAACTCAAAAATTCGGCCCGAAAAAAAAACGACAGTGGTACCCCTTACGTTTTTTTTTTTGGGCGAAAAATTAAGTTTCTCCAATCTTCCCAAACTCTGGATTCTGATAGAGGGCCATGAGACTTAGACCTGAGTGCAAAAATGGAGGCTCTAGCCCTTCCAGAGCTGAGATATCGAAACTCAAAAATTCGGCCCGAAAAAAAAAACGACAGTGGTACCCCTTACGTTTTTTTTTTTTTGGCGAAAATTAAGTTTCTCCAATCTTCCCAAAACTCTGGATTCTGATAGAGGGCCATGAGACTTAGACCTGAGTGCAAAAATGGAGGCTCTAGCCCCTTCCAGAGCTGAGATATCGAAACTCAAAAATTCGGCCCGAAAAAAAAACGACAGTGGTACCCCTTACGTTTTTTTTTTTGGGCGAAAAATTAAGTTTCTCCAATCTTCCCAAAACTCTGGATTCTGATAGAGGGCCATGAGACTTAGACCTGAGTGCAAAAATGGAGGCTCTAGCCCCTTCCAGAGCTGAGATATCGAAACTCAAAAATTCGGCCCGAAAAAAAAAACGACAGTGGTACCCCTTACGTTTTTTTTTTTGGGGCGAAAAATTAAGTTTCTCCAATCTTCCCAAAACTCTGGATTCTGATAGAGGGCCATGAGACTTAGACCTGAGTGCAAAAATGGAGGCTCTAGCCCCTTCCAGAGCTGAGATATCGAAACTCAAAAATTCGGCCCGAAAAAAAAACGACAGTGGTACCCCTTACGTTTTTTTTTTTTGGGCGAAAAATTAAGTTTCTCCAATCTTCCCAAAACTCTGGATTCTGATAGAGGGCCATGAGACTTAGACCTGAGTGCAAAAATGGAGGCTCTAGCCCCTTCCAGAGCTGAGATATCGAAACTCAAAAATTCGGCCCGAAAAAAAAACGACAGTGGTACCCCTTACGTTTTTTTTTTTTGGGCGAAAAATTAAGTTTCTCCAATCTTCCCAAAACTCTGGATTCTGATAGAGGCCATGAGACTTAGACCTGAGTGCAAAAATGGAGGCTCTAGCCCCTTCCAGAGCTGAGATATCGAAACTCAAAAATTCGGCCCGAAAAAAAAACGACAGTGGTACCCCTTACGTTTTTTTTTTGGGCGAAAAATTAAGTTTCTCCAATCTTCCCAAAACTCTGGATTCTGATAGAGGGCCATGAGACTTAGACCTGAGTGCAAAAATGGAGGCTCTAGCCCCTTCCAGAGCTGAGATATCGAAACTCAAAAATTCGGCCCGAAAAAAAAACGACAGTGGTACCCCTTACGTTTTTTTTTTTTGGGCGAAAAATTAAGTTTCTCCAATCTTCCAAAACTCTGGATTCTGATAGAGGGCCATGAGACTTAGACCTGAGTGCAAAAATGGAGGCTCTAGCCCCTTCCAGAGCTGAGATATCGAAACTCAAAAATTCGGCCCGAAAAAAAAAACGACAGTGGTACCCCTTACGTTTTTTTTTTTTTGGGCGAAAAATTAAGTTTCTCCAATCTTCCCAAAACTCTGGATTCTGATAGAGGGCCATGAGACTTAGACCTGAGTGCAAAAATGGAGGCTCTAGCCCCTTCCAGAGCTGAGATATCGAAACTCAAAAATTCGGCCCGAAAAAAAAACGACAGTGGTACCCCTTACGTTTTTTTTTTTTGGGCGAAAAATTAAGTTTCTCCAATCTTCCCAAAACTCTGGATTCTGATAGAGGGCCATGAGACTTAGACCTGAGTGCAAAAATGGAGGCTCTAGCCCCTTCCAGAGCTGAGATATCGAAACTCAAAAATTCGGCCCGAAAAAAAAACGACAGTGGTACCCCTTACGTTTTTTTTTTTTGGCGAAAAATTAAGTTTCTCCAATCTTCCCAAAACTCTGGATTCTGATAGAGGGCCATGAGACTTAGACCTGAGTGCAAAAATGGAGGCTCTAGCCCCTTCCAGAGCTGAGATATCGAAACTCAAAAATTCGGCCCGAAAAAAAAAACGACAGTGGTACCCCTTACGTTTTTTTTTTGGGGCGAAAAATTAAGTTTCTCCAATCTTCCCAAAACTCTGGATTCTGATAGAGGGCCATGAGACTTAGACCTGAGTGCAAAAATGGAGGCTCTAGCCCCTTCCAGAGCTGAGATATCGAAACTCAAAAATTCGGCCCGAAAAAAAACGACAGTGGTACCCCTTACGTTTTTTTTTTTTGGGCGAAAAATTAAGTTTCTCCAATCTTCCCAAAACTCTGGATTCTGATAGAGGGCCATGAGACTTAGACCTGAGTGCAAAAATGGAGGCTCTAGCCCCTTCCAGAGCTGAGATATCGAAACTCAAAAATTCGGCCCGAAAAAAAAACGACAGTGGTACCCCTTACGTTTTTTTTTGGGCGAAAAATTAAGTTTCTCCAATCTTCCCAAAACTCTGGATTCTGATAGAGGGCCATGAGACTTAGACCTGAGTGCAAAAATGGAGGCTCTAGCCCCTTCCAGAGCTGAGATATCGAAACTCAAAAATTCGGCCCGAAAAAAAAAACGACAGTGGTACCCCTTACGTTTTTTTTTTTTTGGGCGAAAAAATAAGTTTCTCCAATCTTCCCAAAACTCTGGATTCTGATAGAGGGCCATGAGACTTAGACCTGAGTGCAAAAATGGAGGCTCTAGCCCCTTCCAGAGCTGAGATATCGAAACTCAAAAATTCGGCCCGAAAAAAAAACGACAGTGGTACCCCTTACGTTTTTTTTTTTTGGGCGAAAAATTAAGTTTCTCCAATCTTCCCAAAACTCTGGATTCTGATAGAGGGCCATGAGACTTAGACCTGAGTGCAAAAATGGAGGCTCTAGCCCTTCCAGAGCTGAGATATCGAAACTCAAAAATTCGGCCCGAAAAAAAAACGACAGTGGTACCCCTTACGTTTTTTTTTTTGGGCGAAAAATTAAGTTTCTCCAATCTTCCCAAAACTCTGGATTCTGATAGAGGGCCATGAGACTTAGACCTGAGTGCAAAAATGGAGGCTCTAGCCCCTTCCAGAGCTGAGATATCGAAACTCAAAAATTCGGCCCGAAAAAAAAAACGACAGTGGTACCCCTTACGTTTTTTTTTGGGCGAAAAATTAAGTTTCTCCAATCTTCCCAAAACTCTGGATTCTGATAGAGGGCCATGAGACTTAGACCTGAGTGCAAAAATGGAGGCTCTAGCCCCTTCCAGAGCTGAGATATCGAAACTCAAAAATTCGGCCCGAAAAAAAAAACGACAGTGGTACCCCTTACTTTTTTTTTTTTTTGGGCGAAAAATTAAGTTTCTCCAATCTTCCCAAAATCTGGATTCTGATAGAGGGCCATGAGACTTAGACCTGAGTGCAAAAATGGAGGCTCTAGCCCCTTCCAGAGCTGAGATATCGAAACTCAAAAATTCGGCCCGAAAAAAAAAACGACAGTGGTACCCCTTACGTTTTTTTTTTTGGGCGAAAAATTAAGTTTCTCCAATCTTCCTAAAACTCTGGATTCTGATAGAGGGCCATGAGACTTAGACCTGAGTGCAAAAATGGAGGCTCTAGCCCATTCCAGAGCTGAGATATCGAAACTCAAAAATTCGGCCCGAAAAAAAAACGACAGTGGTACCCCTTACGTTTTTTTTTTTGGGGGCGAAAAATTAAGTTTCTCCAATCTTCCTAAAACTCTGGATTCTGATAGAGGGCCATGAGACTTAGACCTGAGTGCAAAAATTTCGGCTCTAGCCCATTCCAGAGCTGAGATATCGAAACTCAAAAATTCGACCCAAAAAAAAAACGACAGTGGTACCCCTTTCGTTTTTTTTTTTTCGGGCGAAAAATTAAGTTCCTCCAATCTTCCCAAAACTCTGGATTCTGATAGAGGGCCATGAGACTTAAACCTGAGTGCAAAAATGGAGGCTCTAGACCCTTCCAGAGCTGAGATATGGACATCCCGCCTAACATTTATCCCATTATAAAAATAGTGGTTTATAATGGGATAAATGTTACGTGGGATCGCAATATCTCAGCTCAGGAAGGGTCTAGAGCCTCCATTTTTGCACTCAGGTATAAGTTTCAAGAAGATCAGAGAAACTCAAAATTTCGACCCCCCTCCCAAAAAACGAAAGGGCGGGGTAACACTTTCGTTTTTGGGGGGGGGGTTGAAATTTTGAGTAAATACTGACATAATTTTCATTTTTGGGTGAACTAACCCTTTAAATAGATATCTGAAATGCTTGAAACTGATTGGTCAATTGCACTACCGGTATTCTGCAAATATTTTCGTATAATGACCACTAAACTTTAAAATTGACCGCAGTCCCAGGAAATTAATTTCCTACATAGCTGTGCTAGTTTCACGTCTTTCACTCTCTCTTTAAAATTGATCTCTAATCAGTTGCTCTTTTGATCTTATACTCACCCACCAGTCAGCATCTTCCTCTCCGAGTACCACCAGAACGTCACCCTCACTGAAGGTGAGCTCATCGTGATGATCTGCCACACAGTCGTACATGGCCTTCACACGCCTCAACTTCGACTTTATCTAAACACAAGAACAACAACAAAATAAAACTGGATCATGTGGCTTCTTACTAATATTGCTTTCTTGTTAAACTGTCAGTTTGTTTAAGGGAAAACCTTAAGTATGAGAAACATGTCAAGAAACGCCTGTGTCTTTCCAACAGCCAAAAACACATGCAATAAAACGCCATTCCTCTAGACCCTGCAGAGAAAACCAGATAATTAATTCCCACATGGAAACGGACTGGTTTAAGCCGGTTTGATGCTCGGAAAGCCAGCAGAGCACAGACATGTTAAAAGCTGGTTAAACTAGTTATCTAAAGAAATGAATAGTTTTAATAATTATTTAACACAAAGATTAATAAATATATAAGATTAATATATATAAAGCAATATGACTGTTTTTAACATGTTTTAGTTAATTTGTACCATAAATTATTATATTGTTAACATGTACGTTACTAGCATGAATTGGCCTGTTTTTGCACATTGCTAGCATAAATTAGCACATTGCTAACATGTTTTAACTCATTGTTAGCATTAAGTAGCAAGTTTTTGCACATTGCTAGCATGAATTAGCACATTGCTAACATGTTTTAACACATTGGGTGCTTCTAAATAGCAGTTTATTGCAGTTTATAACCACACATCTCACATATTTCAACAGTGTAACCTATCTTTATTATGATTTATTATGAATTTATTAAATAACTAAACTTCAGCAAAATAAGTACAGATCCTTTTAGAGCTGCTTATGACACCGTGGAGTGACGCTCAAGTGATCAAGTATTCCAACGTGTATAAAAAAATTTTTATTCGATTCCTCTGTCCAACGTTTTCTATCCTCTCTTCCTTCACTCGTGTCCTACAGGGAGTGGAGCCAAGATGCGAGGAAAGGAAACGAGGATGCACAAATAAGAAATGACAAGCACCCATGGTTAGCATTAATTAGCATGTTTTTGCTAACATGATTTAGCTTATTGTTAGCATGATTTAGCACATTACTGGCATGATTTGGCACACTGGAGAAATGATATTGAAAATTCAGCTTTACCATCATAGGAATGAATTACATTTTAAAATATATTCAAATAGAAACCAACTATTTTAAATTGTAATAATATTTACTGTGTTTTTAATCAAATAAATGCAGCTTGGTGAGCATAAGAGACTTCTTTCAAAAACATTTAAAATCCGACCCAAATTACATGGTCAAATGAGACTTTTTCTTAGGGATCGATCTTGCTAAGATTTTTCTTCAGAGGTAAAAGACCAGCAAGAAATAAGGACATTTCTCCACTGATCTATATAATGTCATTCTATATAGATCAGTGCATTCTCCAGTTTCTCACCAAAGTTTTTCTGGGCAGTGGGTGAGGAGCAGTGTGGCAGGAGGAAGAGGAGCTTCCGTTAGTCTCCAGGCTAAAGGAGCGGGGAGAGGTGGGAGACAGGCCCGGGGTGTGACGTCCAGCGGTGCTGATGGGTTGTGGTGTTTGGTACAGAAAGTGAGACGAGCTGCTTTCCCCATCTGCTCGAAAGCCTGCTGAGAGAGAGATTACAGCCACGACACATTGTAACAAGAAACATGGGCCGAGATAAGCAAAACAACTTAACTGAGAACAATTTAATGGAGAGATAATCGGACAGTTAAAGCATTACCTCGTTCTGGTAGCTCAGATAAGGAGTTGAGAGTGGATGCCGTGTATTTGGGAGAACCTGAGCTAAAACAAAAAGGTCTTACGATCAGTATGTTAGTTTGTGAACTTTAAATGAAATTTTGATGGTGTAGTCCAGTAGTTTCATTAGTAAATGGTTTGTATGCATCTGATGACCAATTTATTTATTTCCTTTTTTGTTTTAAATGTATAGTTTTTTACTCAGTAAGGATGCATTAAACTGTTCAAAAGTGACAGTAAAGACATTTTTGAGTTTTACAAAAGATTTTTGTTCATTTGAACATTCAATTAATCAAAGAATCATGAAAATATGTATAATGGTCTCATTTTTAAGCAGGACAGTTAAACAGTTAATAACATAACATTGATGATAATGATAAAATTCGGCTTTGCCATTATAGGAATACATTTTGAATTATATTAATATATATATATATATATATATATATATATATATATATATTTTTTTTTTTTTTTTTTTTGTACTGTTTGATAATATTTCTGCTCAAATCAAATGCAGCTTTGGTGAGCATAAGAGCATAACATTTTCAAAAACAAAAATCTCACAAACCCAAAACTAATGAAAGGCGGTGTATTCACTTTATGATTAATAATGAATTCACTTTACTTTTAATACAAAACTGTGTTGTTGTGTTTTTTTGGGTGGGTGGGGGGTATTCCAGCAAATAGCCAAGAGTCGTCAGCTTTTGTGGCTCTAAAAAGCACTTACCCACACTTCTGGAAAGGTGAGTCTGGACCACCGAAGTTTATCGGACATGAAGGTACTCCATAATCTGGAAAAAGAAAGTAACGACAGAAAGAAAGCACATTCATGTAAGTCAATGAGCTTAAATATTTAAACAGATATTTTGTTAACATTTTACAATAAGGTTTCATTAGTTAACATGAACTAAGAATTAACAGTACGTCTACAGCATTTATTAATAACATGTTAATTTTGACATTTACTGGTACATATTTAAAAACAGTTTTTACATGATGTGTAAAAATGTGTGTTTAGAGTTTTGCAAATTGTGTCTAACTGCCTGAACTTATTTAACATTTCGCATAAAGAGTAGTTTATTTGACGAATGGGTTTAGGCCAATGAGAATTTGGTTCTTATCAATTGTCAAAAAAACAAAACAAAAAAACTGTACAGTAATAAAAGTATATTCACAAGAAATGTCCTGGACTTTTCCATGATTTTATAGAATGTTATTCATTTCTATGACTTTTTCAGCCCTGGGAATCATGATTTTAAATCCCCAGATATTTCCATGTTTTCCACGACAAGGGGAATATGCATCTTTCCAGGTTTGGCACATACCTGTAGGTCCCTGCCGTGTAGAGTGGGGGCTGGGGGGCACTTGAGGGCCGGGCTCAGAGTAGGTGCGCTTGTGTCGGATGATAAGAGGGGGAGGAGGGGTTCGTTTCTTACTGCCGATTACTTCATGGGACGTCCAGCCATCAGGTGAGCTCATGGGAGGGGGAGGAGGGGGGACGTTTGGAGCTGGAAAGTACATGAGGAGAGTAAACAAGACTGAAGGGAAGAGAAGAGTAGAGAAGAGAAGAGTTTTCTCACCTCTGACCCGGGGTGGGAGTGGCGGTGCAGGTGATGAAGGGGGTGGCGGAGGAGGACTGTCGAGGCTACGAGTCTGAGAGTTGGGACCGGCATACACGTCCTTCCGGTTATCCCCTCGGGCCATTGCTAGCCTCCGACCCACGTTTAACAAACCCCCTCCGCCACTGTGAGAGGCAGAGTTACTGTGATACAAGCTGAACGGCCGTCCTAAGCGCTCCTTCTTCACTGGGCCCATCTACAAATATGGGCCATCACTGTTACACATCAGACCATGAATTGCACGCTACACAAATACAATCGGTGCAACCGAAATCGCATACTTCTGAATAGGTGCTACATTTGAATTTACTTCGGTGTCATTAAAAAAGAGTGAATGAAAATCAAGATGAACGAAATTCAGAAACTACATCTGTCTAACGGATTGCTTCACTGGCATTCATAAATCCTCTCCCGTAGCCTCATGGGATAGTTAAGTGTCCACTGAATACCTACTTCAGAATCTCATCGGAAGTAGGTCATCCAAGTACTTTTCGCATACTGTTTTCAAATACTATGTATTCGGATTGAAACTACTCTCTTGGCGTACTGTTTTTCGCATACTATATAGTCAATTTCGGATGCAGTGAAGGTCTCATGTATTATGCTCTGTTAGCATATATGTGAGTTTGTTCTGGCTTGTGTAGTCTGCGTATTTTGTCACCTTGTCATCTAGGTCGTCATCACTCTCGTAAAGGTCATCCTGCCGGAGTCTCCACTCATATTCCACGTGCACGTGCATGTTAAACTGGTTGTTCTGTGACTGGTGGATCTGAAAATAACACATCATTATTACTTTACATTGGATTTCCATGACTTTTCTAGTTTTTGAGATAACGGTGAGGATTTTTAAAGATTCAATTTGTAGAGATTGCTGATGCAGTTTTCATTTGGATGTCAAGTAATCCTTGAAATGAATCAGATATTAACCTAAATATTTTAGAGTAAAGTATAACTATTTATACATTTAAATTGTACTTGAACACATTCAAATCAACAAAAACTATTTGATTGAATCGATTTTAAATAAATGCTGTTTTGAAACTTTCTTTACATCAACAAATCCTGAAGGCATACCTGTTTTTAACATTGATAATAATACGAGTGTTTCTTGAGCACCAAACATAAGATATTCAAATATAAGAGCGATTTCCGAAGGATCATAAGACACTCAAGACTGGAGTAATGGAGGCTGAAAATCCATCACAGTTGTAAATTACGCTTTAAAATGTATTAAAATGCAAAACAGTTATTTATTCAATAGTAATACTAGTTAATAATATTACTGTTGTACTGTATTTATGACCAAATAAATGCAGCCTTGAAATTCGACTTTCAAAACCATTAAAAAATCTTACCAACACCAAACTTTGAATGGTAGTGTATGGGTTAGAAATATAAATTATTCTAGCTACATTCTGCTTTAAATTATTTTATTTGATTATTATTTTACTGTATAAAATCTTTTTTAATCAAAACATCACTTTATAAATGATATTAAAGGTGTGCTGGGGACCCTGCTTATAGAAAATACCATGACCATGATGTACCTGAAGTGTACAGCAATAAAAGTGAAATAAACAGGTTACACTAATATGCATATCCATAAAGACTTGCTTTAACAGGTTCCTGCTGGACAGCATGTTGACTCACCAGCTCCTCACACAGTGTGTGCTTCAGTCTGCGAGCCACGTCCAGTCCCGTCTCTCCATTATCATTCTCTATCACAGAACAGCAATTACCATCAGCTCAATGATCATCATCTGTAATTAACTCCAGACAAATGAGCCAACAGCCAATCCAGCCTTCAAAAGAACACGATGAGCCTCCTTGCTTTAACAATGACTGATAAGATGCTCAATTAATATTAAAACACATTTTCAATCATGAAATAACTCAAAGCAAAAATGTCTTGCTGGGTCTCACTCACTGATATGTGTGTTGGCCTTGGCTCGGAGCAGAAGTTTAAGGCACTCCGTTTTGTTGTGCTGGCAGCAGTAATGCAAAGCAGTGTTTCCCTTCATTGTCTGAGCGTCCAGATTATTACTGAAACACGACAAGGTAAGGCACTTGATAATCCGTATCTGCATGTACATGCAGATCACCAACAAGTTTTCAGAGTGAAAATTGTGTCATTTTTTACTGACCTATTGTGGAACAGGAAGTCAGCCACATGGAGTGATGTTCTGTCAGCCAATAGAACAGCTAAGTGTAGAGCAGTTTCCCCCTTTTCCTGTCAACATATTGTTATTAAAAAGGGAAGACCTAACTTGTACAAAGGTAAAATATGCATATGTTTAAGCAGGCAATGAGAAGGCGAGATGTGTTTGCTGACCTGTAGGTGGGATGGCAGAGGCTGGCTGAGTTCTGTTCTCTCAGCGTACAGCTGTAACAGGCTGAAGACGTCTCGACTGCGAACAGCATCCTGCAGATATTTGCGTTTTGTTTCTGGTGAGCTGCTGCTACGCTGTGCAAACTGCCAATCCATATACTTTGAGAGTATGAAGTCTTTACGTACGGCCCTGTCCAAAACAATCAATATTTTAGTACATCTTTTATTGGGTATCAAAACAGCAGTGAAATTCAACAGATGTCTGATACCAATCAACTGTGCAGCGGTATTTAAAAAATGAGTACAAGCAAGTCACAGATGGTAAGAGAGCTCTCATTAGTGCAACTCTCCTCTCTTTTCATGGTACCATGTCAGATAGATGCATTCCATCCAGCCAGAATCCTGAGACAGGCAACAGCTGTCAGAGCTCTTAAAGGGGCCGCTCTTTCAATGCACTTTTTGTGTGCATCTGAAGTCAACTCAGTTATGCAAGGATTCTTACATTTAAAAAAAAAACGGTTATTTAGTTATACATGACCATTTACACCTTCTTTCTGACTCTTAAAATTTAGGGCTGTCAAACGATTAATCGAGATTAATCGCACCCAAAATAAAAGTTTGTATTTAGTTTACATAATATATGTTGGTGCACTCTGTATAATTATTTTATATATATATATATATATATATATAAAATAATTATAAATATAAATATTTTATATATAAATAATATTTTTTTCTTAAATATACATGCATGGGTGTGTATATATATATATATATATATATATATACAAAATAATAATACACAGTTCACCCACATATATTATGTAAACACAAACTTTTATTTTGGATGCGATTAATCATGATTAATCGTTTGACAGCCCTATTAAAATTGCATTTTCTCTCTTGAAACATGAATATTTTCTGCTTAAATGTGCTCAAAAATGACAGTAAAATATTTACAGTGTTACAAACTATTTATAATTCAAATAAATTATGTTTGTTTGAACTTTCTATTCATAAAATAATCATTTTTAATCCAAATTAACCAAAAAAATTAACCAAATTAGAAAAAATTAAATCCAAATTAACAACAAAAAAATAAATTAACCAAATTCATGGTCTCCACAAAAATATTAAGCAGCACAAATTCTGCTGAAAATTACGGTTTTGCATCAGAGGAACACATTTTCTTTAAAAATATATTCAAAAGAAAACCGTAATCTGAAATTGTAATAATATTTCACAACATTAACTTGTTACGTAAAAATCCCCCCGACAAAGCTGTCAAATAATGAAACAGGTGTTGAGATTTAAACAGGAAAAGCTGTGTCGGGTGGCAGAATTAGGATCTGGAACCGGTAAACATTGGAGTGGACTAAGCATTTCCTGTGACATATAACATCCCTAAAGTAGTTCCTGGAAATATGTATGTTATTTCAGGGCTCTGTGCAAGAATCTAATAATAGCACTGTTCATTTAGTCCAGCTGGTTCTAGAATAGTGTACACAACCATACTTTCCTCCCATCGATCGTGAAAGCAGGGTAAAACTATCCGTTCAGTTTGAAGGTTAAAGTAATTTGGATGTTATTGAGCTTTCAAATTACATTCAAGAATGATCAATGGTATTTAAAATAAATTTAAAAAGCTCTGCACTATCTGGAGACAGGTTAATTGTGTACAGAAAGGTTACGCCCGGCCCAGCCATGAAGATGCTCTTTTGCGGGGGAAAATTGAGAGGGAATTGAGTGGTGCGCATGTAATGGGAAATGCTAAAGACATTGGGTGCTATGGGGACACAGAGACTCCAAGTGTCGAAACCATTTGGCTGGCGTTTGAAGAGTAATTACAGTAACAGAGCTGCTCATCACTCACATGTCACTCTCCGCTGACGGCTTCACAGAGGGACTAGGAAGATTGGCTTCCACAATTTCATTAAAACCTGAATTCCCCACGTTTCTCGCCAACTAATGAGCAAAAGAGAGAGAAAGAGTCATAAAACTGCGGGTAGCTGTTAAGAACATGAGAAATCACTAATGGTGTCATCCTCTAAACTCTGTCAAACTCTCTCTACAACCAGCTGATTTTCCTCATTTGTTCACTGTGAATTCTTACCAGCAATTCTGAAGTGCCTAGTTTGTCCAGAGAAAGTGACTGAATACGTGAATAATGTACACCCATTTCCCGATGGATCCCTGAGCACTCGATGCACGTCAGAATTCCCAGGTTTATAGAGATCCAAGTCGGATCTGAAAGCAGAGAGCGTAAAGAAAACACATTATCAGCTGCTTCTAAATTTCTAAATTACATTTTCTTAACCTTAAACTGAAATACAAATATGCTACATTAAAGCAAAATATAAATCTAAATAATCATAAAAAAAATCTGATAATATGAAAAATTATATGAAAATAAATCTTATTACAAATACTAAAAAATATATATTTTAATAGTATCTAAATAACACTAAAATAACACTGGCCCAGTGTGAACCTGCTCCAGTGATATTCAATGATATTTACACTAGGGTGCAGCCAAAGAAAATCTGAACTCAGCACTTTTTATAGGAACATGTCTATAAATTCTGCAGGCTGTTCTCTCATACACTCCCTGGGTTTTAATTTAATTAAACATGATTTATGGACAGGCATTTAAAGAAACAGCATGAACGGATCCAAAAGTATCCAACAGCAGAACCGCAGCACCAGCCGTTTCAGAACCGGAAGTGGGGGCGGGGCTTACACTCCATTTCTTTAGAATTAGAATAAATCTCTATTGTCCACCGAGGTGCCGATTTTACTTTGGCTCACCAAACATACAAGACAGATAAACATACAGACAACGTTTCAAACATTGTAAAGGAAATAAAATAAAAAATCAATGTAAAACATCATAAATAGATAAATAGGCCTATACTTAAATACATTAAGATAACTCATTCGTTGTTGTCACAACTACTTCAAGCGCCTCCTAGACTTGTGAAGCTCAAACTGGCCAGAAAGAGTGTGTAAGAGAGTAACGACAGTGAGATGGTTGTCCCACTGGACACTGAATGATTAGCATATTCATGTACCATGATTTTCAGTTCAGAAAATATCATAGCACATGTCCAGAAACATTTGTGCTACTGTAAAGACTTTATTTTTGCACCTGTGGCCCCGCAGTCACAGCAAACGTTATTTCCAGGAATGCGGCGAATATTCTCAGTGATAGATCGCGTCAGGTCCTCCACGCTGTTCTCCCCACTTGTCCTCCTCTCATCCAGAGCCACATTTAGAGCCTCCTGCTTGCTGTTTGTCAGCACTGATATCCACCTGATATTTTTAGGAAGGTGCAATAACAAATATAACCATTAGAGGGCGACAAGACACTTCAGAATTTCAAATTTCCAGTCGCAAATAGTGACTAGTGAATAGTGAGAGGTCAGTTCATTTGCAATTAATGATAAAATGCCTTTGATTACAGTTAAGTTAAGGGAATTTTGTAAACAGTGCACAGACTTCTAGTCTAGTCGTGAATACACTCTCTAGGATTCATTTCTGAAAAGCTGTGCTATAATGCCGACTATCAATAATCTTTTCTCTTGCTCCTCTTCAACTCTGACATTTATCTGAAGATGGAAGCCTGGGTTGTGATCTGACTTGAGAAGCACTTCAATCGTCATACATGCACCAGCATCTGAGGAAGAAATGTTACATATTTCTCTTTCTCTCCAAGAAAGGAGGCTCTGTTCCTCTGTCAAGATGGAAAGGTCAAATCGGAAGAGGTGTGTGTGCTGAAAATTATACAAGCTCTTTCTGACGGCCTAAACACATTCTCATCTGACAGTCACATGAGTAGACTGAGATTCGGGCAGATCAGTGTCTAGCAGAAAAAAGGCATTTCTCTTAAAAGAGAGCCCGTGAAATCAGAGTCAGATTTTTGTGAAATTTAGTTCATGTCTGTGAGCTTTCAGATGATCTTTATGCTGCATGGTGTACATTGACAAAATTCACTTTTAGAAGACCAACACAAATATTCAAGAGTTTGGGGTTGAGATTTTTTGATATTTTTGAAAGAAGTTCCTTATGCTCACAGGAATATTTTAAAAATATATTATAATAGTTTCATGAATAAATATATTTATTCCTGCATTTTCAGCATCATTACTCCAGTCGTAACATGATCCCTCAGAGATCATTCTAATATGCTGGTTTGATGCTCAAGAAACATTTTATTTTACAAAAAATATTATTTAAATAAATTATTTAAATAAAAAGCCTTTTGATATGTCCTGCTCAAACTTCCTATATCAATGGGAAATCACGCTAATACATAATTTTAAAATATCTCTGTATTCATTTAAGATACATTTTGTGCATAGATATAAAAAAAAATTAATGAATAATAGTTTGCGTAGCTTTTTATTGTTTGGATTTATGTGCAATCATGTCAAAATTACTCATTGAGGTACATAAATAATTTAAAAGGTTCTTCAAGTGTGAATAAACAAAATAAATACTTACGCCATACAGTCAGACTCATCATCAGCCAGAAAATGGTAAGTTCGATTATCTTTTTAAAAAAAAAAATACACACACACACACACACTCATTAATCCTTGTAAATTCACAATTTATCCTCAGCTGGCAGTAGCTAACATGTAATCAGCAAACAATCAGGAGAGATTAAACAGGTTTGAGGTCCTTTGTTAAAATACAAGTGGGAGGAAAGAGCAAACAATTGCGCTCAAGTGCAAATAGTGAATTTAAATAGTGCCGTTTTCAGAACAACCTGCATTTGTTTCAAGGACTAGTATTGTATTGCAAAATATTTCATGATTGTTACATAACGTAATAATGCACTAGAGACCTGAGGCCAGAATAATGCATGGACGCATGCAGATACAATTATGTAGTTCACTTCACTAAAAACAGCCTGAGGCTGGTTCGCTTCAGCTTGGCGTGAAGATCCTGAAATCTACCTTTGATATTTTTTTCTCAGTTATATATCACATGGGAGAGTGTGTGATGGGCCGAGCGCTTGGTTGGGGAATGCTGAGAGAGTGTGTGGTTAACTCACGTGAGATGAGGTCAAAGCATTTCTTGTCTTCCAGACTTGGTTTGACTTGACAGGTGAGGAGGTTCAGTTTAGCTGGTGATTTATTAGGCTGGAATGAAGGGATAGCACATCACTAAATGCCTGTCTAGTGCGATTTTGTGTACATCTCAATTGTATTGTGTGCATAACGGCATTGGTTTCGGCCATGGAGAATGCAACTAAACATTATGAAAATATAAAATATAAAATAATAGTATAAATATGTATCATTATATAAATACATATCTAAGTAAAATCTATAAATAAATATACACTATTATTCAAAAATATGTGGTTAATATGATTTTTTTTGAAGATTTTTTTTAAATATGAGAAGCACAGGCCTTACATCTCTGAGAAAATTTGGGTAACAGTTGAACACTTCATAGTAACAAAGCACTTATAAATCATTTGCAAACTATTAGTTTATAGTTAATTAATAGTTTGTAAACTCTGTCACTGTAATGTCCAATAAAGGTTGGTTTAAAGCACTTAATTAATTAAACACTTACAATAATTACAGTGACAATCGTATACGGTAGTCTATTAACTATATATTTGTACATCAAAATTTGTTTATATTTACAATATACAATTATGTTCGTCAGTGAAAACATTGGAAATATTTTCTTTGTACTTCTGTCACTTAAATATTTTATTGCTTTTAAAAAATGCCCGAACTTTTCTGGAAATGGGGTTGTACTTCACCAGCGTCACCATGTTCGGTATGTGTTTTGGGTGGATTTTTGTCTTGTCTTTCAGTTCTGTGTCCCAGTTTCATGTGTTTTAGTTAGTTTCACTGGCTACTCATGGTTTTATTAGTGTTTACAACTGTCATTGATTATGTGATTAGTTTAGTCATTGTATTTAAGCCTGTGATTCTTTCATTTCATTGTCCGTTCTCGTTACAGCTCTTTGCTTTCTCCTTGCAACCACACGTGACATTTTGAATGTATCCACATATTTTCACAGAAAAAAAATGTTTGCTGCTGTATTTACAGAGAGTGATGAGAGTACTCACGGTTCCATGAGCGATGGTAAGATAGCAGTTCTGCACAGAACATTTCCTCTTCTGCCACATCTTCCTCAACCTATCCGAGAAATGAGATTACGGCACAGCATCCACATCACATTCTCCTCAATCAACACAAAGCTATACAGTGAATGCAATGACAGATCTGTGTGTAACTCCCGGGACAGCGTGTCCTGCCATACATGAATAATTTGAAATGAAGGGCTAACAGAGCACTTCCAAAAGCATTTATCAGGGAAATCTAAATGAAAGTGAGGATTATACATCATGTTTGAAGAATGCAGTATCCGGGAACAGAAATTCAATAATGTCATGGCCATTTGCTACAAAATGAATTCATTTACCCATCACTTCTCTTGTAGAGGTAGCCTGATTTCTCTGTGCCATATTGCTTGTTGCCTTGAAGCTGATGCATGCTGTACACGGTCTGTCTGCTTAGAGAATCCTGAACAACAGAAGCATAAACTGGAAAGTCATGGTTTGTTTGTATGTGGCGCACCAAAAAGCTTTTTTGATTACCATTGCCTATGCATGGGCTTTTGCACACAGCAGCTTAAAGGGATAGTTCCTGTATTGTTTATTTTATGTGTTTATTTTTGTGGGAACAAACTAGAAGACGTTTAGCAGAATGTTCTCACTTCTCTTTTTCATACATGAAAGTCAACGCGAACAGGGGCTTTCCACTACAAAAATGACACAAAAACACCATAAAATTAGTACAAATGACTTTTCTGATAGGTTTGCTAGGTCACAGTTTCATTCTATGGAAAAGAGCAGTGAGAAAAATCTGAGAGAATATCTTTCCATGGAAGAAAGAAAGTCATCAAGGTTTACATTGAAATGCGGGGGAGTAAATTAGGAAAGAAACTTAAATGTAAAGTCTAAACTACTCAAGCTGAACACTGAGAGGAAGTACTGGCTCACACTTATGAAGAAGGGTTAATACATGCAGGACATGCACAATAGCATGCAGAGGGTACAAATTTAATAATAAAAAGGAATATTCCGTTTTAAAGTATGTCCACAGAAAATAATGAAATGTTGTCAACAGGAAATAGATTCAAATATACAAAATTCTGTACATTTTTGAATTATTTTTTTTTAGAATGTATAAATGACTATAACAATAATATAATTACAATGGACATTTATGGGGCAAGAGTACAAAGATTGTAGTGTTGAAGTCGACAAAATACTGTTGAAAGCTTAACTTGTGTTTAACCTGGAATATATCCAAAATATGAACAGCTTTCAGAAAAAAAAAACATGAAAATTGGATATGATTTTTACAGCAAGTTTGACAGCAAATCATTATTCCCCATGAGAATGTCACACTATATTGCAAATGCTATTTTTCTCAACCAAAGTGGGAAACATGAGGTGACAGTTCACATGCATGTGTTTATGAATAATTAGGGCTGTTTGATAAAATCACATAAAAACATCACAACTTACTCTCCTGGACTGCTGTTTTTTTCAGTGAAGCATTTAGAAAAAAATGATTTTGTTAATAGCAGCTCTTCACAGTCATGCCAAGCAATTCAAAAATTGTGGTGGAAGATGATTGACAGTAAGAAATATATTGATCCTCCTCCACCATTATCCCATTAAATACCTGAGTAAGACTAACAAATCACTCCATAAGACCCTATCTATTTATTACCCTGACAAATTATGTATACCGCCATGCACTGCAACATAACATGCTATTGATTTTTGTGAATCAATAGTTGTGGGTGACCTCTGAAACAGGAAAAACAGAACTCAGTGGTGAATTAAACATACCGCAGTCCTAAGCAATACGAAACTGAAAACAGAGCCAGTATATGTACTGCTCATGTATGTGTATGTACTGCTGTGTATGTACCAGTGTATGTACTGCTCACTGCAGAAATACTATGTGAAAAGTGGCTGTGCCATATATATATATATATATATATATATATATATCAGTGTAGGTTTATCTTTGAAAATCAGCTTACTGAGAAATAGCCATTGTGCCAATCTGCCCCGGTATCTCCATACATACATATAAGCTTTCAATTAAACAATGTGGGATCATATCCAAGGGAATTGTTAGAACATCCTAAACTGAACCGCAAGGAGTGTAAGAGGTAAAAATAAGCATGAGACATGTGTGATAGAGCTAAAGCGGGAAAAATGTGTGTGCAAACGGAGCAGTGTAAATTGAGTGTCAATCTTTACCTCTTTGAATTCGGGCTGTAGAGCAGGTCTGAGCTGATCTCTGAGAGAACAGAGCTGTCTCTTTTCCTCATCCTGCTTATGTTTGATCTGTATAAACACACACACACACACATACATACTTAAATTCCTCTAAATACATCCTATCCTCCTTGTCCAGTCGTGTTTTTCTAAGCATGATTACTTTATGTTTTAGGTGAGACAATTGCCCTTTCAATAAGTCGTCTGTCACTCAAAACATCACCGCAGCTGAAAGAAACCGCCTGCTTTACCACCACAAATGGGATTTACTGTTAGCAACAGCTTACAGTGCTGATTTGTTCCCTGATTGTGTCAGCATGAGGTAGATCGGTGGAGGCTGGTAACCTTGATGAGCCGTGATCCAAGCAAACAAAAGCCACACTGTTGTGGTTCTTCAAGGTCTACAGTGAAATCTAGGATGTGAGCTGCTGAGACAACATTTTTCTTATTTTTGCTTAGTTTCCATCTTTCATCTAATATTTCAGTTTGGATTTCAGCTTTATTTCACAAACCTACGATATATAATATACATACAATAGTTTTAGAGAACGTGTATGCTTGTTACCAGGTCAAGCAACAATATCAGCAGGCTAACCAGCTAAACCACTTAAACAGCAGTTTGGCATCCAGATAGAGTAACTTAATCTACAATTAGGATAGTTTAAGTTTAAATATCTTTTGTTTAAATCTCTAACACCACTAACAGTTAACGTTGGGTATGTCACTCAAGTAGTTACATATTCAATAGTGTACTGTAATTATATTACAGTACTAATTACTCTATTACTTTACTACAGTCTTCCTATGTCAACCTCGACCAGTTGAATAATACAAGAATTTCATTCTTTCAAATAAATAATATCAAATTGCATAAATTATTCTTGAACTGACCAAATAAATTAAAGGCAGAGGGTTACATTAAAAACATAAATCTCGATGTTAAATCCACTATTTTATAGTCTATAATTTAATTACATCAGAAGTAACTAATTAATTACTATGAAGTAATTAAATGAAGGAAAAATAAAAATTAATCCATTACTTTACTTTTTCAAGGGAAAAGTAATTAAATTAAATTAAATTAATTACTTAATAATGCATTTCATACCAACACTGCTAACACTTCAATGTGAGTCACTCGGTTATATCAGTGTGGTTGTAGACATATTGAGATGATGGACTATTTTTAGCCAATAGACTATTGATCTGGGCTGACTATATACAACCAAGGAGATGAAGGAATATTGTTAGCTTGGGGGATGATGGGATATCATAAAGATGCAGAACAACTGCCCAAAAGTCATTCACAGCTCAGCATGAGCAATCTACTCTCTGAGATTGAGATATATTTGGCTGAGAACGAACAAAGGATGCAAAGGATTCTCAGCACTTTTCGATTTAAAAATAATGACCTCGTCTATGGGATGGTATATGAAGAAATATTAATACACTAGGGAACTGTAAGACAGCATGGACTGAGTGATCAGGGCCAATATCATGCTCATCCTGAGCTTCATTGCTGCAAAGTAAGTGGTGCTCTGAATACCGATTAGCACTCAGGGCTGATCATGTTTGTCTGAATGGATTTTGAGTATACAGGGCCAAACTATCAAATTGCTTGACAGATGATGTACAAGTAATCTGTCTGAATTATTTCACGTCAGTTTGGTTTTCAACGCCTTTCAATGCATTCTGACCTTTCCACAAGTGAGCCATTACTCCCTAAATGGTAAATAGTTTTAATTGAAAGGTCAGTTTAATATAATGATGCTTAACTAAAAAGCAGAGCTGCCAAATATTTGGACAATTCTTTACTATTTCCCATTAAAGTCTTAATCATGTTAAGGGATGAAACGTGGTGGGTAATTAATAATAATAATGTAATTTAAATTATGAATTTTTATCATATTCATATTCAGAATTACTAATAGTAATTGTAAGAGTTATGTTTGCTTTCATTGCGTTTTAGTTCGGTTTTCCCTGTTCTTGCTTTGCATGCGGTCTCATTCATTGTGAGTTGCATTGGCTTCTAATTGAGTCTTGTTTCCATTTATATACACTCTAAAAAATGGGTTGTTTCAACCCAAATTTGGGTCAAATATGGACAAACCCAAATGTTGGGTTAAAAATGTAATTTAAAATGTTAACCCAACTTCAACTTTCACTTTCTATGGTATTTTTTTTAAATTAAACCCAACATTTGGGTTTGTCCATATTTGACCCAAATTTGGGTTGAAACAACCCAGCATTTTTAAGAGTGTATACAAGTTTTATCCTTTTATATATACAATTTATACAAGTTAATTGGCTTGTGTATATAAATTGCCCTGATATATGTATTTATTTATTATTTTTGGATCATAAATAAATACAGTAATAATGACAATTAGTAATAATTCAATAATAATAAAAAAGAACAACTATAACAACAACAATTATTATTTATATGCCAATATATTATTATCATTAGAGGTAGTAGTATGTCTTTCCCCTTCAAACAGCATTACAAAGTAGTTTGGTTAAACCCGTCACCATCTGTTTGAGGTTTGAATAGTTTGTAAAGGAAGCCTTAGGCAGCACAAAAGCATGAGTATAAGCACAGAAGAGAAAAAAAAACTTTAAAGTGCCATTCACCCTGATTTCCTCCACTTTTGTAAGTGTGTTTGTGGCTTATTGCCATTGTAAGGTGGGATTTGAGCCACAGCATGTCATCTGCCCTATACATTAAGAACATTTGTGTGCAAGAGGCAAGCATGGGCGGAATCACTCACAGCGCTCAGCTGACCCGTGAAGACCTCAATGTACTGCTTCAGCTTTTCTGTTGTAGCCAGACACTCCTGAAAGAAACTGACAGGGGAAAGCAATTTTAATCACAGATCCCATAACAAAATTGCATCAATTGTCAAGGCTGCATCTCTCTTCCCCTCTCGCTCTTCTTTCAATGGTTTCTCATCCTCTAAAATTCCAGTCACACTTAAAACAGCGTGACAGACTCGAGCATGGAGGGATGTGACTATAAAGCATGCATTGAACACTGATGATGGTGTTGGTGCCAAGCAGGCACAGGTGCACTGCCTGGCCCAGAGATTTCTCCTAACACGGATGACTTTGTTCATTTTGCCATGGTCTGGTTCCTTTCATTGGATGACTCTGTTGTGGGGGACTGATTATATTGCTTTACGAGGACTTTTCATCTAAAGGATTGTTATATATCTATAGAAATGCATAATAAATTCCCAAAACCTTAAAAATCAGAGTTTTATCACTGACTTACTTGCACTGAGAGTGGTAGTGTTTGATCAGGTTCTGTAGCAGGTCTACTCCTTTCTTGGTCTTAATTTCATTTACTTTGATGAGGTACTGTTTAAGAGGAAAACAGATGAGAATAGAAAAAAAGAAAAAAGTTATTTTAGATGGCAATAATATTTCACAACAGTACTATTTGACTTTATTTATTTATTTATTTTTGCAAATAAATGCAGCCTTGTTGAGAATTAGACATGTTTTTCATAACCATTTAAAAAAATGAGCAACCACAAAATTTTAGTAGATATACATACAGTCAGAGACTGTTTAGAGCTCGGGGGCCTCAAGATGACTTAAAATTATTTTAAATAAGAAAATCAAGATATTTGAGTAACTGTCTTGTTCTGTTTTTGTTTCATTTTCATTCTGTCCCATGTGCTTCTTTTTCTGGCTTCTGTTTGTTTGAGTTTCTGTTTAGTTTCTATGACTTCTGTGCATTTATACCCTTAGTTTCCTTTGTTCATTGTTCCGTGTCGTCTCAGTATTATGTGGTTAAAGGGTTAGTTCACCCAAAAATGAAAATTCTGTTAGTATTTACTCACCCAAATGTTGTTCCAACCCCGTAAGACCTTCGTTCATCTTCGGAACACGAATTAAGACATTTTTGATGAAATCTGAGAGCTGGATCACTCCTCCAAACTTGCCGGCCTCGAAAAGTTAAAGACATTGTTAAAATAGTCCAAGTGACTTCGGTGGCTCAATCTTAAGTTTAAAACGACGAGAAAACTTTTTGTGCGCAAAAAAAAAAAAAAAATAACGACTTTATTTCAACTATTCATTTCCGTCTCTCTGGGCCTCGAATTTAACAGCGTATGATCTGTTGTTGTACGTCACAAGCATCACACACATGACCAGCGTCGGCCAATAGTGAGCTTGCGTGTGACGTTTAACTGACTAGAGGGCCAAAGAGAAGGAAATGAATAGTTTGTTTTTGCGCAAAAAAAGTGTTCTCGTCACTTGATAAAGTTAAGATTGAGCCACTGTGGTCACTTGGACTATTTTAACGATGTCTTTAATAACTTTTCGAGGCCGGCAAGTTTCAATCCCTCAAGAAGCCAATGAACTAGTATGGAGGAGTGATCCAGCTCTCAGATTTCATCAAAAATATCTTAATTCGTGTTCCGAAGATGAACAAAAGTCTCACGGGGTTGGAACAACATGAGGGTGAGTAAATACTGACAGAATTTTCATTTTTGGGTGAACTATCCCTTTTCTTTTGTGTGTTTCCTCATAAAGATGAACAATTACAAGACTTTTGCAAAGCAAGAGAATTTTGTAATTCTCGTCTTTGTGTTCTCATAACAGACAAATAGCGTGGCAGATGCTAAAATGCTTTATCAGGTTGAAATTGTGATTGAAAGCGCATTGAAGTAAAAAAGGTTGATATCTACTGGTTTAGAGACTTTCATCTGGGTATTATATGGAAAAAAAGTCAACAATTTGAATTCATAATGGAGAGTTTAGTGCTTCTTTACTAGTTATTTTTGAGAACAATGTCCCACTTTATAATATGACAGTATAACTGCGATCATAATTCGCCCTTGGTGGCCATCAAAAAGTTTGAAAACCCCTGGGTAAAATTATAGTAACCTAGGAAATGTCTTTGCCGTTCAAATTTACCGACAACAACACAGATGAGCTGATCTCATCATTAATCTAACAACATGTTCCTCTACAGCAGCTTACACAAACACGATCTTACTTCACACATCTGTAGCTGGAACATCCTGCGCTCTTTCTCCATCTCTTCTGCAATCTCTCCTCCGCTCACCTCTGTGCGCACCATACCATACTGCTTCGCCAGTTCCCTCTTCTCTTTCTCGATCTTAGTGCTGAAGGGGACAGAACGCATATGACAGTGTGGTCATGACTTTTGTATTTTGTAGTACTAACAGAAAACTGATGGTATGTGTCTGATTTATGGTTACAGTAAATTAGAAACCAATACAAAAGTATTGTAAGAGAAGTGAAGCGAGACACTTACGAAAATTACAATTAAATGAAGAACAGAGATTAGAAGGAGCAAAATAACGATACAGGAAGTGCTGAAAGGAGTTCTTGTAACAATTAAGGATCAGGAAGTTAGATTAGAAGGTCATGGGTTTTCGGTATTGCTATGTTAAACCTATAACTTTCAGTTTTTAACTTTAAAGTATTTTATTTTTGCATACTAATAGAGATTCATCTCTTTTGTATACATGTGTATAGATGACACACATATGTGAATGTAGTTTCCTTACGGTTTTACAAACAAATAAGTGCATTTTATAGTATTAATGTTATTGCTACATGACATATAATATGTGCAAAAAGGACTACATTTCTGATTTGGTGTCCATGAAGGAACATGTTGTGAAATACTGGTTTAAACAACCATGTCTTGTAATAAAAGTGTGAAGTAATATGTGAAAAGGAGAACAAGTGAAAGTGACTGTGATCCTGCAGTGGGTATGTAACAGAAAATATATCCTACACAGTTTCTAAAATTGGTTGTTGTTTGAAACAAACACCACAGAGAGAGAGAGAGAGAGACTGTCATGACAGAGACCAGAGATAAAATGTTTTCTTTTTGTCTTCCTTAGTTTGATTTACAATATCTGATTTATAACACAGGCACAAATGGCTGGAATTAGCCTCATTTAAAAACAGTGTTAGAAGCACTCACAATTTATTTTCATAATCTCTCCATGCTTTCTCAAAGGGCTTTTTCAGGTCCTGACGAGATAAAAACAAGGAGTTAGAAAGTCAGACTTACATCATCTTTCAGTAAAGACGAGAATCGAAACAGAATTAAGAGAAGTCATCATCTGACTTGTTACCATCTGCTCACATTAAACACTGTGCTTATGCTAATGATCTATGTAATGGATTTCTGCTTGTAGAGGAAGAGAACACGTCTTGTTGCCTTCTGGGATATAATATCCAGTGTATCTCATATGCATCATATACTGGAACATTAACAGAGCAACAAAATTAAGTTACATGGTACCATATTTTTTGGACTTGGTAATTATCATTTCCTCTTTTTTGGGTACCATAAGAAAATGGTAATCATTATCTATAATGGTTTACAACATGTCCTGGCAAAGGTAATATTTATTCAAATATTATGCTAAAATTCATAAAATTTGTAAAAGACATTTACCAAAATTTTATTTTTTTTAAACCTATGAAGTTTATACATAACTTACTTTAATTAAATACTTCACCTTTATTCTGAATTTATAGTATGTACAACATTTTTACATTTAATAACATTTTTATAACTTTTATTGTTTTGTTTTTTTAACCTTTTTGCATGGCAATTATATTATCAGCCTAACAATTTGAATATTTGCCTATAAAGCAAGATAAAATACTAAAATCACAATACATTTACAAAGCAATCACAAGACAGTATTATATTGAAGAGCTCAACTTACACCTTTGACCTCTTTCAGATCCCCTTTTACCAGCGAGTCCAGGAAGAAGTTAATGTTGTGCAACATGCTCTTCAACTGATAAAACAGAAATATTAAAACGTAAATTGTGAGCTTGCAAAACCCTTTTATTGCCAGTCTATGTCAGCGTATGCTTGCTTATTAGCAAACAAACGCATTAAAACATGTTTTACTAAAATCAATTTAATAGGAACACGTCTGGAAAGGATAAGGAACTGTGGACAGGGAGGTGAGAAAACCTTTGGAGGGAAGCTAAGCTGTTTGCAGATAAGACATATCTTGTAAGACCAAACTGTGACTAATATAAAAAACGCTCTTTGGGATTATTCAGAAAACTAACAGAGAAAACGCTCCAAGTGTCTCACCAAGTTCTTCATTGGCATCAGCAGTTCTTTGGAGAATTCTGCAAACTTATTAAATGCAGAGGCCACTTCCTGTTCTCCATTGTTGCGGAAATTCACAGCCAACTTCTCCATGGAATTGATGTATAACTCCAAATGTGATATGTGGTCTGGAGAAAGAATAGCAGCACAACTTCAGCACAAACCAGGAAAATATAACCAAGAAAACATTTGACTAAAAGCATATAACACACACACACACACACACACAAAAAACAGACAGAGGTGTTGATGGGTTTGGGTCTCATAGGGGCATTTTCCGTCCACTTCATTCATATTCATATGTAAGAGGAAATGCCTTTCGGTCTCTCTAATGAACTATCAAATAAACAAAAATGAATGCATGCAGCCTACAGTCTGATGTGCATGAAATAAATCAAATATGGCATAGTGAATACTTGCATTTGTGACAAAACGATGCAAGCAACTAACCAAATCCCCTGACTAAACGAGAAATGATACCCTTTCAGGTACTTTCTCACACATTTAAAATCAATTAAACCCAACAGATATTTTATTTTAATATTTTATGTTACCTTGACCAGAGAAATGCTTTGCTTTGGCTGCTTTCTTCATTTTCTGCAAGATTGTGCGGTCAGAGTCCAAGGCCTTGGAAAGAGAAAAGAAGGGTCCCATCAATACTGAGTTGGGAATTCCCATTCAGCAGATACCAGTTGTTGTTTTTTTACACTGGATTAGTGTATAAGTGTAGTTTGCCAGAACAGGAATAAATTACATTTTAAAATATATATCAAAATTTCATATATATCAAAAAAGTTACGTATCAAAATATTAGAATATTTTTGATCAAACAAATGCAACCTTTGTGAGCATAAGAGACTCCTTTCAAAAACATTAAAAGATCTATTAAACAGACCCCAAACTTTAGACCGGTATTGTATCTTAAATGCACAAGTCAGTTTGGATAAAAGCACCTACCAAATGCATAAATGTAAATGTATTGTAATTCCAGACTATTCATATAACATCACTTCAGTTTGTTTAAAATTTTGTTGAAATTCACACAAAGAAGCACATAAAGGCACACACGTATTGTTTAGCACAAACACAACTTGAAATGTCCTCTTACAGAAACACATTTACCGTTTCAAAAACAGCAATTACATGCAATCATGAAATGATTATGAAATAATGAAAGGCTGAGAGACTTTGCCTTCTGAAACTGGACAGCTGGAATTACACCTGCTAGCTAGACCATGCCACTTTTCTAAACTAAAATCTAATCTACCGGTACTAAATCAAGTAACAATCTGGTTACAATAAGGCAGCAAATGGAGCATGGAGTCTGATTGTTGTGTCACTAAATAAGCAAGAGCAAACATGTAAAAATGAATCAACAGCTTCATAGTCGCTTGCCATCTGAGAGCATGACACATTGCTGTGTGTGGTTCAAAATAGTGTGACTGTTGTGTGCTGGGGTGAGATCGTCAACAATTTGGCACGTTTTAAAATGTATTTTTAACAGTGTATGGCTAATGATGTACAATAAGAAAACATGTGATTCCTTATGGGGCCTTATAAACAAGATTCCAGATTTCATTCCATATAATATGCCTGCAGTCTTACAGTCTAGTCTAAAAAGTCTACTTTCTACACAGATTTAATGGGAAACAACATATCCTGCCCCACTTATCCCTCCCATCACTCAGGATAAACACTTCCTCAGGGTGAATGACGCCCTGAAGAGGGTTGTAACACTTCCCTAGCTCATATCCATCAGCCCTGAACAGCTCCCATCTTTTCAATAGCAGTTGATTTAGCGTAATTACATTTTCACAAAGATAGAGTCTCCATAGTCGTATTGAATAAAAAAGGTTTGGGTTTAAGACTTGAGGGGGTCCCCAAAGAGCTTTTGACAAAGCAGATTCTTTTGTTTGCTCCAGTTCAGTTCAAATCAGCAGCCATGTTCTGTACGTGCCACCACTAATGATTAAAGCTGAGAAGTCTATTGTCTACAACAGTACATTTAGAAACCACTGCAAAATGTGAATCAACTCAAAACAGTTTTTTTTTACTAATACAACCACATCATATACCCATAATTTAATGTGGAAGAACTGTATTGTGCATGAACTCCAACTCTCTAAAGGCTGGAACATACTTCAGGAGGACTTTTACCCAGATTTTACTCTCCCCCAGATTGGAAGAGTCAATATTAAGGCAGGGATACACTTAACCTTTCAACCTGAACAGATTTTAAAACACTAATTATCATACACTGTGGCGAAAGTATATAGTTACAGAGAAAAACTGGGCACCATACTAAATTACTAAATGACTAAGAATCACAAACTACCTCCATACTCAACAAACTCACCCAGAAACATCAATAAAACAATAAAGGGGATAAGGGACATTCATTAGGAATGTTTTTTTGTTGTAAAAGCCATCATGAAATCAAAAGTTTTATTGTAGACACATTTTCTCTTCACTGATGACTTTTGTCGGTTTACTAGGCGGGACAACCTGTCACTCACATGAGATCACAGCAATAGCAGACCACAACCATCCATTTAATTCCAGATGAACAAAATCAAGTCCCACCCTACATTTTTTGTTGTGCAAGAAGGCGTTTCACAATATGGATGAACACATCACAGTAGAAAAGAAAAGACTATTGAAACTGTGTCATGCTGATTTAAAAAAGATGAGACATATAGTGGAAGTGAAAAAAGAAACATGTCTTTGTTGAACTTTTAACTTGAGCACGGCCAGATTGAGTTTGTTTTAAATATGGAAGTCAATTCCAAAAATGTACTGCATTCATAACATTCATATCATGTTAATTTTACTGCATGTAAAGTGCACAAGAGGAATTTCATAACTTGATTAAAACTCAGTAATGTAACTACACAGAAAACAGAGTTTAACTAGATTATTTGTTCTCCTTAGCCTTGATGTAATCAACTTCCTTCAAAAAAAAAAAAAAAAAAAAAAAATCCCAGTTTCTATGGAGACTTCTTCCTGTTTCAAAGCCAGGGACCTCTGTCTCTATCACTCGTGTCTTATCTTGCTGTTTTTATTCTCTAAGGAATCCGGCCAGTCAAATGCCAGCATAAAGGATTATAGCTACACCATTAATATTCATTGGTGTTACACATGATAGTGTGAAGTGGGAAATGTAATTCACTGTTATTAGTTCAGAGAGCCTGTAATGAACTCCTTATTTGAGAAACAAGTTGGGCGTGATGTGAAATCATCTGACACTGAGCAAGAGTCAACTCTCATCCAACCAACACTTAAAGGGATAGCTGATCCCAAAATGACAATGACAATGACACTATTTACTCACTCTCAAACTTTTATGATCTTTTTTCTTCTGTATGACACAAAAGGAGAAATTGGTTGTAGAATTTCAATCTAAAAATGCTGGGTTGTTTTAACCCAACTTTGGGTCAAATATGGACAAACCCAAACGTTGGTTTAAAAATGTAATTAAAACATTTAACCCAGTGGCTGGGTTTTGACGCAAAGTTGGGTTAAAACAACCCAGCAATTTTTAGAGTCTCTTTTCCGAGTGAATGCTGACCACAGAGGCCAACATAAATTTAGTTTGATTCTCACACAACACTATGGCTTCAGAATACAGTGTAAAAGTCGTATGGATTATTTTTATGATGCTTTATGTTGTTATTTTAGTCTTTGAAATGCGCTATTCACACTCGAAAAAATGCTGGGTTGTTTTAACCCAATTTTGGGTAAAATATGGACAAACCCAGCCATTGGGTTACATTTTTAAATTACATTTTTAACCCAATGGCTGGGTTTGTCCATATTTTACCCAAAATTGGGTTAAAACAACCCAGCATTTTTTAGAGTGCAGTCACCATCCACTTCCTTTCATGTTCCCTTGAAGAAAGCCATACAGCTTTGGAACGAGGGTGAATACACACTGACAAAATACATCTTTTTTGGCAAACTATCCCTTTAAATTAAACAACCAGGAACCGAACACATTCAGAAGCAGAGCAGCAAGTTTTGCATAAAGGACATTTGGCTTTTTTATTTTTAGCACTTCCAGATAGCTCTGTTATGTGTACACTGGGCCAATAACAATTCAACCGTGTGGTATTTTACCTGGAACGGCATTCCCCTGACTAGGCAGAGTGTGAATTCTGTTCTCAGCATGACTAACCTCACAGATCTTTTGTTCTATATTACAGCAATGGTGCCTGACTTTTTGGATTGGCTTTTGTGTGCATTTAGTGCTTGTGAAATTCCCCCACAGCACACATAGAAAGGACAGAACAAGGTAGAACCAGTGATATACAGCCATACATACTCATGGTAAACAGGGACAGTTTAAAGACTGGCTTGCGAAGGTTGTGACCAAAAATGTTGTAGTTGTTGTTCAGTTTGCATTTAAATTTGTACACAAAAAAAACCGCCATCTGATTATGCCTATACCATTGTACTTGGGAGGGAAGCATTGAACTCTTTTACATAGTGTATTTCCTTAAACTTCAGAAACTCTGTTTAAACTTTGGTGTGAATGCTTTTTACACCAATATGATATAATATCATATAATTGGGATAACCTGATTGGATCCATATGGCATATAATATTCAGAATGCGATTCAGTGGGCAATCATTTTAATGAATGGATGGATAAATATAAAATTTAGAACGATTACATTTAAACATTTAGAATTCCATATTAGTGAAAGTGAAAAATATTCATATTTTAAAAAAAAACAACTTTTTTAAATTTTATTTACTGAAATATAACAGAGAAATATAAAAGATAGAATTCAATTATTTGTTGATTCGGCTGCGGTTTTCACCCACATATGAAATAATATCTCAATAGTGGATAATACTGTATCAATATTTATAATATAATATGTCATATATTTAAGTTAATTTTCCCAAGCTTGTTTCTATTCCCATGGGAGACAAAAAAAGTCTATTTCCTAAAATAATTCAAGAACTCAAATGTTGATTTAAGTCCAATTTAAAGAACCTCAAATGTCAATCAGAACACAATGCTTCTTGTACTGACACAGAAGAGCACCATGCTCCATGTCACGAATCCACCATAAGACATGCAGTAACAATGTTTTGAGGTCTGAGGCATTTTATAATTGAGGAGCATGACCAGATGTTTATGTTTATCTCCCTCTTTTGTGCTTTGAAGCACAGCCCACACGGACACACAGTTCACTTTCTTCACCACTGGTGGATTTTAGCTACTTTACCAATGCGGCCAGGATTGAAACTAAATCAACACCACAATAATACCTCATAACCATGGTAGAGTTCACTTCCTCACAATCATTAAATGTCAATTATGAGTAAGATAAGCTAAAAAGTAACTAGAAATGACTTGGTCATTTTTCCACTAGCATCCCTTATACAAAACAAAATGTAGTCCAGATCTACAGTGACCGCTTTTTTGGACCATTGTGTCTCAAAAAGTGGTGAAGCAAGCTATTCATGTTGGGCTTGTTTACCCACAGTGCTCTAAAGACTAAAGATAATACTTTGAGGTAAACACACACACATACATGTTCAGAAATAGCATCACTCAGATGAAGCTCAGCAACATGAGGAATCCAGAGCAGGTTTATCATGAAGTCAGCAGATGTGTTGTGATATAAAATAACATGCTGATACCACTTCCTTTGCAAGTACAAGGTGTTGCCAAGGGGCTTTATGACATTCTGAAATAAAGCTATTATGTTCAAAATCTCAAAACAAGATATTTTGAGAAGTATTGGTTACCACTGCACTGACTACCACTGTATGAAACAAAAGCCCACCGAGACACTTTTCACAATGATAACGATTTGGTTGAGTAAATGATGACTGTTCATTTTTGGATGAATTGCCCCTTTAAGTCCGCAAAAGAAAAATGGATCAATGTTTCTGAAATTCCTAGGTAAGTGCATCGAACTGACTTTCATAGCACTAAGTGCTACAGTAATTCACAATAGTGCATTTAACTGGGTCCCTGAGGAAACATGCCACGGGGTAACAACTTTTACCTATTGAATTAATTTCATTTTATTTTAAAGGTGCTCTCAGTAGTATTATTTTTCTAAAAGATTAGTATAATTAATTTCAATTCATTTTAAATATTCTACTAATTTCTTTAGGCCTATGCGTAAAACGTTTTAAAGGGGTGATGAACTGAGAAATCAAATTTTCCTTGAGCTTTTGACATCTAAGAGGTCATCATATTATAAGAATATCCTGTAAGTTTCAGAACTGAAAACGTCCTTGTTAGTCCAATAAAAGCTTTTATTGACACCAGGCTCAGCAAACGACTTGTTTTTCAAAGTGGCGAACTATGAGGATAAAAGAGGATAAAACACCACCCCCACAGAAGAAGATCAACACCTACTTCAACACGGCTGGTTTAGCCCCGCCCACTTATTCGCACATTACACGCATAGCTAAATAACATAGGCCTGCCTACCTCGTGATGACAAACTGGGTCGAGAGTGAAACTCATTATAATATGCAAAACTGTTATCCACTCACAGCAGTGGGCGTTTACTTCTAAGTCTTCAGTGCGAGACGCCCATAAAAACCAAGCGATTTTCAGCTGGGCTCAAAACTAGGGTAGAAAATAGCTTATCTAAAATTACTTATTCATTTTTATGTTTTTTTAATGTAAAAAACCAAGCGAACATCATAAGTTGACCTCAGACAACAATATAAAAAAATTAAAAAGCCAGTTTATGACCCCTTTAATGAGGAAAACACAAATGAGTGTACCTTTGTTCATTCTTAACAAATATTTCAGGAATGAGGATAATAGTTATATCAGGTGTCTCCACTCTGAAAGAATAGGTAAACCTGCTTTACTTTTTACAGACACGACAGCCTCGGCTGCTCCTGCTGGTGTTGCAGATTATCCAAGCACTCCAATTATTATTCTTTATATTCTTCTCCGGTGCATTTGCTAATCCCAAATTTTAATTAACTTTCAGCAACATACAGTACAATGGCAAAACAGGAGCAACATATTTAGCTGAGGTGTGTATTGGATGATCATCAGAAATGTCCAGGGAAATCTCTCCAGTTCCTGCTTTGTCATTAAGTCACATGACCCAAACACAGACTCTATTATATTGGACTCCTATTATCTCTCTTGAGGTCAGTGCAGATTAAGGGAAAGCATCTGTGTTGTCTAGTATCTGGTTGGTGATTAATCAATCTTCTCACGAGTTCAAACATAAAAAGGCAAGTGATATTCAACTTTAAATGAAATGCACAGGTCTGACTAATACTGTACCAAAAGATTATCAATGGGATTGAAAACATGCACTATTTAAAGGGATATTTAACCGATACAATGTGCAGATATTTTCTTGTCCATACAATGGGGTCCAATGTCAATGTCAATATTTGCCCTCTTGTGCTTCTAAGTTGTTTTGAAGGGCTTGTCCAAGCAGCAGGATTTGCTTCAGCGCCTGTAAATCTGCATAAGGCAGATTAAACTGAGGTGTCCTGGTCTGAGACGAGGCGTGAGGTTTCTGGGTTTTGGAGTGGAGGCTGACAAGTTCATAAGAAAGACCACCACTCAGTCTCTCTCATAACCCTTTTGTCCTGAACCCCCCTGAGGCTGTGCATGTGCAAAGCTCACTATATAAGGTTCCTACCCTGTCACAATCAAGCATGTAATGTGATGCACTGTTCAATTTGTATGGCTGTGTATTGCACAGACCAGGTCATCGCCATGGTTACTTCACATTCCACTATGTCACTCTTATTAAAGCAGTCATCATTCAATTGTTGCCACCCTGACCCCACTGTATGATTCAAATAGGCACAACTGGGGTTCAAAATATATATACAGGTATGTGTGTGTGTGTGTGTGTGTGTGTGTATATATATATATATATATATATATATATATAGACACATGTAATCACAAGCTTTTATGTTTAGATGCAATTAATCAGAATTAATCAAGTTATATAATAGATTTTTATTATTACTTTTATTATTACTCTGCTGTATTTTATTGTAAGTAAATGCACCTTTTTGTAACTGTGGCAAACAGCAGCCAAAATGCATCTCAACCTTGATTTCTGTAACATGCACAACATGACATTCACTAACAGGACAAGATCCTGGATCAACATCCTTTGTTGGTCCTGGAGCAACATCTCTATCAACCAATCCTCCCACTCCTAACCCAAAAATCAGAAGGCAATGATTGGTGGAGCGTTGTTCAACAATAACAACAATGGATGCGAATCCAGAAACATGACGGTCATATTCATGCTGGTTCCTTAGCTCCAGAAGATTCATGAATCCTAAGCCGGCTTTTGTTTATGCAGCTCAATAAACAGTGGATGAAAGGCACGTGCTCGTGATAATAGACAACAGCAGACGCGTATTGACGCACGAGCATATGAGAGAAGAAGCGCGAGATAGCGGCAAAATACGAAGTAAAGAGTAAAATAGGCTATATTATTACAAAAAAAGGAAAGAATGCAAAACTTAGGTGCCATTTAAATTACAATAACGAAGAGGAAATGTGGACGTTAACGCGTAATGAAATGTGAGATCCTTCCTCTTTCAGTTGCACCATGATACAGAAACCACAGAAAAAGGAGCGTACATAATATTAATTCATTTGAACAAATTTGAAAGCAAGCTGATTAGATGAGTACAATAATTTTCACGCTTTAACTGACTATTTAGCTTGAAATCACATGGTTTGAGGTTTTGGAAATAGGCTAGGGTCAGCCCAATCGACTCAACAAGACAAAGAGCATCAGTATCTGCTGTAGTAATGTTTGAAGCAGTGTTCGTAGGGGGAAAATATGAAAGACAACACGTTCATTGGCTTAAGCATTTCTGCAATGCAAAACGGCAGTGTAAAACAGGATAAAAAACATATTACCTTCATAAAAAAACACATTGAGACCTGCTTCTGATATTGGACAGTACAGAACACATGAATTTCATTCATCATGCTGCTACAACTGTCAAAGACAAAATAAGAAGCTATTACAAAAGACGGCAGCACACAAAGGCAATCTCATACCTCCTCAATAAGGTTGGCGGAATTTCGGCAACTTGTCATTTTGGTGTAGAAGGAAGAGGTGGTGGGAGAGCTGTAGTCCTCCAAAGTCTCCTCGATAAACTCATCCACTGATATGAACTCAGGCATTTTGGAGGAAAAATAGGGAAATGCAAATTCTAAAAGAAAATTTCACAGTAAGCTCATTAAAAATGATGATATTGTTGGTGAGGACGTAGCTAGAAAAATGTCAAGCTGTTTGAAAAGTTCGCACAGCGGTGAAGTAAAGTGCAGCAGTGTTATGTTTGGCGACCGCGCATAAGGAAACAGGAGGGTTTAGTGTCAAGTCTAGCGTTGACTGTTCGATAGTACGCATGCGCAGTTGACCGACGGACCCCACAAAGCACATCAGTCTGGGATGTTAATAATGGTCAAACTGGTCAATATGTTAGAACACCATATAAAAACAATTGAACTGAAATAAAACAAAAATAAACCTGTTACGCATTCTCTCAAAAGCTGTTCGCTTTTATGAATGACCAAAACCACCAGATAGCCTATTTTATCTAAAATATTTATTACTTATTTAATATCATCTAGTCTCTTACTTTATTGATATGAAATAACTGTTTAATAATTAATATTTTTAAAGAATTGATATAATCAAATTTATAATAATTTATAATAAAATAATATTAACATCCGGGGTTATTTTATTGTGAAAGAAATAATTGTGTAGAGATTCAGTTTTCTAAATGGTATCATTCACCCAAGCAAAAAATAAATAAATAAAATAAAATAAACACATTTTATCAAATGACTTCAACTATGTCAAATAGTAGTGAGGATTTTAATTCATCACAGTGAATCAAATCTTTTAAATCTGTTCATCATCCACTTCGTTCTGTGACTCCTTCTGCATGTTACAGTATGTTTAATCAGTAGGTGGCAGCAAAGTTTATTTTTATGTACTGAGTGAATCACTGAATCTTTTAACTGATTCATTGTGAAACTTTTGAGTTGAAAAGTCCTCTAATCACATGAAAAAAACGACAAAGTGCACTGTAAAAAATTATAAGTTATGACAACATATGGCAAGCAGAACGAGGCAGAGCCGAGGGCCTTGAGAGAATGACGCAAGACTGGTGGCGTTATTACTGACGAGCGTCACCAAAGGAGGAACAACGACAGTGAAGGACGAGTCCAGGCCTGGCCTTCTCTCTTCCATGTTGTCCTTTTAGATATAAGGCCGGTGTGGCCTGCAGGTGATGCTTGTTAGTAATGAAATACTATAGACTGAACACATAATACACATTTTTGCGCATTACGTCTTTGTTTATAGAGATTCTCATTTTTGTTGTTTACACAGAGACCATTTTCAAAAACTTGTATGAAACCCGTTTTCAAAAGTTTGTATTTTCATGCTGTCAAAATGCCGTCGTCGTGTAATTGAACGGCCAAAACGCATAAAAAACACAAACTTTTTAGTTGAAAGCGGTGTCGTGTAAACAGCCCCTAAGTTCCTCCTGGACCCTGTGAACCCTCAGTTGTCGGTCGATGTTTGTGTGTAGTGTGTTTACGTGTGTTTCACTCAGTTTATTGTGTTTTTAAGTCAGTTTAATGTAATTTAAGTTGGGATGATTTAAACATTCAAGTTGATTGTACTTAAAAATACAAGGCATCAACTTTTTTTTTACAGTGCTAACTTCTTTGTTCTTTTTGTTCTCACATGCATTCCAGGCTGACATTCAGTTCAGTGGTCCAGTTCAAATCCTGATGATCAAAAAATGTTGATTAATTTTGTTCAAAGATGAGAACTAAACCCATTGGATCTCGCGTTGTTCAGATTCAAAACATCATGAACTCATATGGTGAAGGGCGTAGCATATTCATGCAGTAGATCTCAGCCTCCCACCAATAAAATTCAATCCATATTAATCGAAAACTCCAAGAATAGAAACGTGAATGAATCATTCAATTAAATGGTCAATTAAAAATTCAAACAATGATACGATTGCGAACCAAACATCAATATCTAAGACAGAACTTGTCCAAGGGAACTAGCCACACACTACTTGCCTTTTGGTCTGAGAGTTTGGAAAGGAGCATAACATAGCACATTATTAATAAAGCCTGGAAGTCACCTATCCCGGCTGTCATCTCTCATTAGAGGTTCACTCAGTCAGCCGCAGGCTCCTTCTACCCAAGACATCCCAAATGGCCCTGCAGAGAGCCATGTGACCCCTGCTGCACATTCCCAGACTGTTCATTCACAACATAACTGCTACCTTACATTGTGATGACTGGATGTCTGTAGTGTCAAATGCACTGTAAAAATAAAAACATTCAAATATCAAACACCCCAAAAATTCTTGTGATCAGGCTGGGTGATGAGAAGAAAGAGGTTGTAATAAAGGCAATAAAAATAACTGAATATCTCAAAAAGATATGATGACAGATTAATTACATATTTCCATAAATTCATTTACTCCTAAAAAGTACTGTGGAAGCTGATTGAATGAAAGTGACAGTCCAAGATGAACATGGAATTGATCTCTATTGAATATCACCATATTCAGATGATTACCAAAGTCATGAAGGATACAAAATATTGAAGGATACCTTAAAATAAGCATGAAACGGAAGTTACGATAGTCTTTTCTTCCCTATTGTGAAGTAGTGAAAATTACACCATAATATTTTTACAGTGTAATTACACACTTTTTATAGTCTGGATGCCAGCCCGAACTCCACTCACAACATTTTTTGGTTGGGAAGTTCGGTCCGGATTACAGTGTAATTATACATTGTGTTAGTATACCTTTATTACAGTGTAATAATACATTTTGTAATTATACCTTTATTACAGAGTAATATATTTAATACAGTGCAACTGCATGTTTTTAAAGTGTAACTATACATTTAATAGTTTAAAAATACAGAGCTGATCCTGACCTCCCTGGGGCCCTAAGCAAAATTCTGTTAAGGGGCGTCCTCCTAGCTGACTTATGAGCCATGTAAATCATTTGCCATTACCACACAGTCACACCTGGTTCCCCACAGTGCTCCCACTACAATCCTCCCTGCTTTAACTAGTACTAATTAAAATCAAATTTCGGATATCAGAAATAGACATTGTTACTAGAAAAGTACATTCTTAATATCAAGAATTCACATTTAAAAAAGTACAAATTTAATTATTGATATCAAAAATGCATCCTGTGAATGCATCCTTTCCATTTCATGTCACTGTGTTTTAAATGATAAAAGCAATACTTGATGGTTATTATTTACTGAGGGATGTGCATCCATTTTGACCAGTAGCCTATGTCAACATTTGAAATGCAATATAGCCTATAAATCAATAGTCAATGTTAACACATTGCAGAGTTGTAACTAAACTGATTTAGAGACTAGATAATCCCTGTCTTGTTTTAAAAGTATGTGCCCCTATAATGAGAAGTGCCATCACATGTAATTTATAATAAATTATATGTTTGTTACAATTTTCATTATGATTTTTTAAAAAATTTTTAATTGTATTATTATTATAATAAACTCATGAGGAAAAATAAACGACATTAAATGGATGAGGAACAATTATTATAATAAACACTTGAAAATCAATTTCAGGGTGACTTTAAAGTTCACATCTTGGTTATTTTTGTTAAATCTTACATTCTGATGATAGATCCATCACTCAGGAGCATAACCATGGAAACCGTGATTATAATTAAATGATCATTTGCATGTCCATTAGCTGCTAGTTTTTAGTTATATTCCCATGTGACAGTCGAGCTTCCCTGGTACATTCTATATAATTACCCTTCGCTATTTCAGAGGCAATTATCTCACGAGTGGGTTTAGATCATGTACCGCAAGATATTAGATGGAAGATAGTCAAACACATTATTTACTATTATTAAAGCACATATCATATTATTACTTTGCATGACAAAAACAGAATAAGTTCTACGGAACAGGCCAACTAAATAACCTGATTTTTTTTTTTTTAAAGGTGTCGGGTGCCTGCGCCAGGATGCATTTTTCTATGGGTGTTAGCTTCCATTAGTCATCTCATCTCATCCATTAAACCGAGCAACAGTATCATGGAAGCAGTGCTGTCATCAGGCTGGATGTCATTTCATTTATCAAATCTTCTGCTAAGGCTTCCGTCATAAACCGCAAATGGCTAAATCGTAAATCTGTCTCTGCTCCTCTACCTCTGCAAACAATAGCCTATAAAACTCGACATACAATATTTCGAAAAAATAGCTAGTGTAAGTCCTGACCTAAGAGGATTTTATAAGAGAGGCAATATTTTTCATGTCAACATTTTCAATTGTGTTTTTTGAGTCAAATTGAAGACCACATATAGCATTCATTTTATACAATATTAGTAAAATGGAATAAACTGAAGATCATCACAAGATAATTTTATTTATGCAACTTACAAGGTTTTCCTAAACAACCTGTGATATCTTTAACAGTTAGCTATTATCAAATCCCTCAGTTGTTCTAACATTCCCAAATATGTTATTAATATATACATATATGTTAAATTAATACCTTGAAAAGCAGCAGAATTATTGGAAATTACATTACTATTCTTAAGTCTCTTATGCTTATCAAGGCTGTATTTATTTGATCAAATATACAGTAAAACTGCAATGTTACAATTAAAAAAAAAATTCTATTTTATGTAAATAGTAATTTTCAGCATCATACACAATAACAGTGTTGCTTAATATTTTTGTGGAAACCGTCATTAAGTTTTCCATGTAATTCTTAATGTAATTAAAGTATTAATTTCTTAAAAATCTTACTTACAGTAAGTAGTGCACATTGAATGAATCAGAAAGCATTAAATAGCACTGAATTTATTGACAGGCAATTATTTGTATTGTTAAAGTGCAATTCTAGATATTACTGCTTATGTATTTCCCATTAAAAGCAAATAATGGCTATGTACACATGGGTATCAATACTTCCCCTGTTGATCCATGCATTTCTATGGATTTCCACCTTCTCATCCATTAACAATAAGCTGGCTGATTTGTGAGGGCATGGTGTAGATGATGAGGAAGAGGAAAACCCCCAGGATAACCAGAATGAGCAAAGCAATGATGTACTTCTTGTATTTCTTCCAGATGAAGAACACAAAGGTCTTCAAGGGGTTCACAAACCAGTTGAAGGAAGTCTTAGGACGGCTTAAGGGGACAAATAATATGGGACGTGTTTATGCAGCACTTTAGCATATTTTAGAAGCACACATTTCAAGTTTGCATGCTTTTATTTTCATTGATATAAATGCATTTTAAACCCTTACTTTGGT